AATAATTACTTTTGAGGGTTAACTTAACCTCTAGTGGCTGTTGCGCATGCGCATTAGGTCTCCCCCGCTGTTTGAGGATGAGCAAAAGGCGAAGTCCGAGTCAGCACCGAGAGACATCGGCGCTGGACTCAAGTAAGGAGTCAAGAAGGAGCCTGCCCAGAAAATGTATGCTATGGGTCATGGGGAAAAGAGAGCCTGTGTGCAATGAGCATAGATAAAACATATTTAGCAATGGGCATATTTGTATTCTTACAGTTTGCACAGACCAGATACACATCAGTATCTACAGAGCCAAAACTGCCTTTAGCACTTTAGTATTATGGAAAGGACTTCTAGTACTGCTCAGGCCAGGGAAGTATATCTAACTCCTGTGCCATATGCTTTGATTGCGGCCCCCAATATTTTATAGCAGAAGCAAATCACGAGGAAAGTATAAACTAGCCCAGTCTTATTAAAACGTGAGGTCCTGAAGCTTAGGCTCCAAAAGCCTTTCTGGTAAAGGACCACTAAAGTCATCCAGACCACTTAATCTCAATTAATTGGTCTGGGTGCAGTGGTCCTGTATTTTTAACCCTTCAAAGTTAAAAATACAGGACTACTGTATTTGTAGAAAAAACTGTGTTTACCTTGAAGTGTTAAGCACATCTCTACTGACACTCATGCTGACCACCACTAGAGGGATTTCCACTGCGCTGACTAAATAAAACTTGGTCACATGACATGGCAGCACACAGAAAAGCATTGGACATAATTCTTTCCTGTGAGAAGCATGCAGAAGATGCTTTCCTATGGATGTGCGTGCAGAACATACCACACATGCGTATCAATACCCAAATAATCCTCTATGAGAAGCAATGGATTGGACTAGTGATGGAGGATGCAACGCCTCCTCAATGATGTCACGGAAGGCAGAAAAGACAGCAGCGCTGTTGTAGTCTCAGCACTGGGAAAAGGTAACTGTGTAGCTTAATATTTTATGATAATCTGGGGGGGGGCATGAATATAACGGGATAGGGTAACAGTAGCGTTAGCAACACAGGTTTGTATACCTAATGCTATAGTGTTCCTTTTTTGTGGCCCTGACAAAATATCTATTTAATATAGGCATTATTTTCTCTGAAGAACCTAGACATTCCCATATCTAGTTTTTTGTCAAATGCTTTGATTAAATGAATTAGCTTTTCCTTAAATTATGGTGTGCTTGCGACCATTTTGCATAGACAAGCAGAAAGAAATGAATGCTATAGTTATATAAAGCATTGTTTCTCAGTGTTCTACATTATGTTTTTAATATTTTACTGATTTGTCTCAAAACGTTCTGTCTGTTTAAACTTAAACAAAAAACCCTCTGTACAGAGGTGATGGGTGAAATGATTCAGTGCCTAAAATACAAAGCAGCTCAAACACATATAGTGAAATACCCTTATTTCCACAATAAATTAACAATATATAGAAATGTAGTGTAAAATACACCACCTAGTGGAGCGCTAATACAAATATAAGTGACAGAGGGGTTCACTTACCCCAACAATTTTGTGTTGTCTTAAATTCAGGAATATGCTTTTAAACATACAATGGAGGGAACAAAGAGATAAAAAACATATAGTGCAGATGGTTTTGGTGAAAATGAGTGATGAAAGTAAAAAACTGAAACCACTCACATGGTCTGGAGCCTATATAATATTGGCTCTGTACGTAAGCCTTTGTGCTCTTTGGGCAGCAACACACCCCTTCCTCTGAGATGTACCTCCACAACGACAAGGAAACAAAAGGAGAAAGGGACCCAATGGGTGGTATATGTGCAAACAGGCAGATAACATATAGGTGGTAAATGTTATGCTCACCTAGTTGAGAGCCCTAAATTCCTGGCTCTGAGGGTGGTCAGCGATGTGCCAGTATGAAGGGATGGCACTTCCCTGTAAAGATTCCCAGAGGCTCCAAAGACTTCAATGGATAGAGAAAATGTATTGATTCAAAATAAAAAGTAAATATAAAACCAGAAATTTGGAGTATAAAAATTGTAAATAATTAAAATTTTACACTACATTTCTATATATTGTTCTGTCTGTTTCCCTGCTAATACTCATAATGCTCATATTTTCGCGATACGTCCTCTTCTCTCACAGGCAACATCGTTCTCTCTTTTTTTATTTCAGGCAATATATAAGATGGTGGGCACTGTAATTATGATGCGAATGAATCAGGATGGTCTTACCCCACAGCAAAGAGTTGATAAAATCTTCACAAAAATGGACAAGGACAGAGATGATCAGATCACCCTGGAAGAGTTCAAAGAAGCAGCCAAGAGTGACCCATCTATAGTGCTGCTCCTGCAGTGTGACATGCAGAAATAGCACCAACTCACACTCCCACCCCCAACTTGCCAGCTCAGCTGAGCTTCCCGCATGCACCTCACTACCTTCCCCAACCAACAGCATCCTGGGTTCTTCCTCGTGTGTGTTAAGATAGTATCTCTCACACATTGTTATAAGAGGGAGGTGGCAATGTGACAATATCTTAATCAGGGTCCAGACTGGGAAACACTGACACATGGAACGATTGTGTATTTTGAAGTTCTACACAATGACGCATTGAAGGGCAGTTTGGTCCAATTCTAGATTGTGGAATCCCTACTGATATCTGTCTGTCCTTTCTGTCGTCTTGGGTTTAGGTCTTGCCCATTGTTGTTGTGGAAAATGTAGTGCTGCTTTCTAAAAAGTGGAGAAGACATGTCCCACCTCTGCCATGCGTTTGAGGGTTTTAAAGCATTGTCTCATAGTGCATTGCATGTCATATAAATAGTGTTGGTTTGTTTCATGTATATTGCTTTATATGTTCTATATACACAGAGCTTGTCTTATATAGTGCTTTGTATGGTATGAAATGCTTTGAGTGTTCTAAGAAAATATATAGCATGAGAGGTATATATATATATATATCTTATCTATACAGTATTTTGCATGTGATATTAGTAATAAGATATGCAATGCTCGATATTCAAATTGCGTTTGTGTAATATGTGACAGATTCTGTGCTATGGATGACACGGTGACTGCGTGGCTTGTGTTTATACGTGTAAACATGTATACATGCACATATAAAGCCTTTCACTATATATATATATATATATATATATATATATATGTATATATATATATATATATATATACACATGTGTTATTTGTGAACATATCAATTTTAAAAATACTGTGCCAACCAAAATATTGCAATTACATATAAAAAAAAAATATTTTTGAAGAATCGAAAATTAGTTTTTACAGCAAGCTATGTATTAAGGGTTCTGCTTTTCTTTTCTTTTTATTGTGTGTTGTACCTTGTTTATATCATGGATGTATCCTAACATTTATTATTATTTGTCTATGCATACTGACATTTAGATGACAAAACAAATGCAATAAAACAAATTGCTATTTTCTTAACAAAGTCCATCAGCAACAATTTAATTTGTGTGTCAAAATGCAATATGTCCAAATACATTAAGTTCCTTTACAAAATAATTTCATGTACAAAATATTCTGGTTGACACATGATTTGTGAACAAACTAAGTTCCCTCACAGAATAAATTACAGTACAAAATGTTTAACCTTTGATGGAAAATAAAATGGTATGTTGACAAATGCCACAATCTATGTTCTGCTGCTTTGCTTGTTAAATGCCCCGAATTTTGTGTGTGAGACAAATGGCTCTTTATCATGTGTTGCTTAGAAAAACTTTAAAATGGACTGGACTGAATTGCTCTACCAATGTAGCTTAATTGTCTCTGCATCCACCTCTGAAACACAGAAATGTCTGAATAGAGGATAGATGGATGTGCAAAGTGACAGGTTCAGCATTTGTGCAAAAGGCCCTCTGAGCCAATCAAATTGTTCCCCAGACTCCTGTTGTACCAAATAAGAGGGTGCGGACATAGAATGCAGTCTTGTGATTGGTCAGTGATATAGCTCTTGTTTTGTTTGGTGGAAGTCTCTGCCAAATAGGCCAAGAGCAACCCCACTCATCCTGAGCATTGCAGGTATGCACAAGTACTCATTGTCAGCACTTTAGGGCTAAATGGCCCCAGCTGTCCCCATTAATGTCCCTCTGGGGCATGTTTCCAATCCCCACCTGCTCTGTGTGTGAGTGTATAGTTTGATCAGTACAAGTGAACTTGGTATATTTTTCTAACTGAAAATAAAATACATAAAAAAAAAATCATTTATTTGGAATGTCTTTTAGAATTAGAAATATACATACACCAACATAATGTATATCCATACATACACAACTATTTTTTTAAAATTATATATACAGGGTATATATAATATATTTATAGTAGACATACGAGTTTGCTCACTAAAGGTAACAAAAAAAGATTTTCAAAATGATTTCATGTGTAAGCAGATGTGAACACAAAACACTAGATAGAGCTCAATCTTTGTTTATTTGTGTGGTTTTGAGAACGTCATTTTCTATATTCCTATTAAAAGGAAACATGCATTAAGAAATTGTACAAAAAGAAAAGTTAAAAAGAAAAAAAGCCCTTAAACTTCCTTAAAAAAAACAAGTGCTGAAGCAGGCACACCTCCCAAAACAGGAAAAGGTTCCACCCCCCAGGAGTCTCTCATTATAGTATGTATAGTTTTTTTTTGTTGTTGTTTTTTTTATTCTTTACATCAGCATTTTTAAAACGAACAATAAGTACAACTGGTAATCAGAATAGAGGCAAGTTAACAAAACACACAATTTCAGGGAAACGCAATGTGTAGAAGAGCATATGATAGATGTAACCGTGCATAACTAGAAGATCCCAAGAAAATAAAAACCCAAAAGAAAGTGTACATAAGCCAATAGGGATATCCAGATAGTTCTTCAATATTGCTTTTATTGTGGGCACGGGCATATTATAAGCATCAGTGATGTCAGCATCTCAATGATAGTGAAAATCTAAAAATTAAATTTTGAAACATTTATCTACAAGACTAGGTGTAAACAAAATTGACTTAAATGACAATCGACTATAAACCAAGAAGAGTACTGGGCACAGGTAAGGGGTCCAAGGTAGTTGTATTGGAGGAGGTACAGAAACACAAGTTTGGCTATAAAAGAGCCTTTATCTACTAAACAGCTGAAAGAACAAACATTTAAAAAGCCATTTTCTTAATTTTGATCTTTCTAAGTTGGTATCCTTGTGTGGGATTGCTATATAAATATATATATTTGTGCTCGGAATTTAATATGTAATGGATAGTGTCTGAGATGAAAGTTGGTTGTGGTGTGCTGAAACCAACGTCCGAGTGGGCCTGTAAATAAAAGAGGTCCCACCAAGGAGAATTGTATGTTCTAAGGGTGCTGGTGGGTGGGGAACACTTGAACTTGGACGTCAGAGGTGAGTAGGGGCTGGGAGTTTAAGTTGGGGACTTACTCCTCCCACAAATTCAGGCCTAATGTCCTTTCTACTTGTGCTCAGAATTTAATATGTAATGGATAGTGTCTGAGATGAAAGTTGGTTGTGGTGTGCGGAAACCAACGTCCGAGTGGGCCTGTAAATAAAAGAGGGCAAAGAGAAGTTCGAAAAAAACCACACTTTATTGCATTTATTACATAACTAAATTCCTGAAGGCTTGGCAGAGCTCTCTTTCTGGTCGTGGAATGTACATATTGTATATGGAGGATTTCCAACGACCCAGTTTCTTTATGGTGTGGACCGGGGTGTTTGTACTAGAAGCTGATGAAGCGGCTCCTATGCGGAAGGAGTGCCTGGAGAACGAAGCTGGGTTGTAACCCAGTTTTTCCAATAAGATTCTAACATGTGTGGTGAATTTTGCTGTGGTGAGTGGTTGCCCTTGTAGTTGTAAGAGCGGTGAGTCTGGTGAGTGCGTGTTCTGAGTTAACCATAGGTGGTCTAGTGCCTTAACCGGACACCAAGCTTTATCTGTTGGAAAGATGGGAATGATAGTGGGGTGTAGTGAATGATTAGTTTTGGTAGATGGGATCGTGAGAACGTAGTAATCCTCCACTTTTGTGAGTTGTGAGGTTTTAAGGCTGTGTATGATATCTCCTTGACAAACAACGGTAAATTCCCTAGGTCTTAGGAACCCATAAAAAGCTAAATAGATAGCAGACTTGATCACCAGGTTTGTGTTGGGATCAAATGGATATCAAGTAGATTGCTAAGTAATCTAAAGATAGGAGTATATGGAAAGGAGAGACAGCGCTAATTAATAAACAGGCAGCAACCTTAAAAAGGGAAACCCTCCAAGCCCTTTTAAAACAAGACAGTAAAAACAATAATAAAAGGCTGCGCCAATAAGAGAGTAAAAATAGAGTGACTAAGAAAAAATGTCCAACGTAATAGATAAAAATAAAAAATAAAAGTTCAACTTAAGTGTCCTTGCGGATAGTCTTTATAGTAAGTGTTGCAGCAGTGAAGTCTTCATAAGCTGTATAGGTTCCACTCATATAAAAGACAAAAGGGGAGAGAGAGGGACGACCAGTAGTGCAGTATTGTATAATTCCAAAAGTGACGTATGGAAAGATAATATTAAACAACTCACATTTAATAGAGCTTATGTCCAGCTCTAGGATAGAAGCGCATACAGCGGTATAATCCCCACTTGTGGGATATGCTGTGGGTTTCTCTCCGTCAGTGGTGTCCAATTCTCAAACAAGGAAAAAGAGAGACAACCGATAGTGCTCACTATTTAAGTAGTCTTAATATAAGTAGATGAAAACGTACTTACAAATGAGGAGCAGACCAACTGCTCTTGTGTATCAGCATAGGTGGATTGATCCCCACCTTTAGGATTTCTTTGAGTGCAGGAGACTTCCGAAGTCAGTGTTGGTATATAGTAGTAAAATGCTAAAAATATACTAAAATATACTAAAAAGCCAGGTATAAAAAGAGTAATGTGTATATAAAACTATAAAAAAGAATAGTTGGCACAAATAAATTACCAAAAATAGCTTTAATATTACAATACACAGTATAAAATATCCATAACGCGTTTCGTCAACAGACTTTATCAAATGGAATAGCAAACATTACCTGGCTAGTTGTGTTATATAGGAGTTTAAATTTGGCGCCAAAAATGGTCCATCCAATCAAACTTAAGTTACATTTGGCAGTATAAAAACTTTAAAATACAGCAATAAAACCAAAGTATAGGGTCTAAGAACACTCATAATTGACTTTGATGACCAAAACGAAGGTTTTAAAAGCATAAATTAAATGATTAAAAATGCGCACGTGACGCGCGGCACTTTCGGTTTTCGGACTATATGCCGCTATGCTTTATGGGAGATGTAGTTGGTAAGCCGCGAATGGCGGCTAGGAGTGTAATATAGGTGCTGCCAAATATTGGGGGACATAGAAGCAAAAGCCCACAAAGAGGGCAAAAACTAAAATACATTAGACACTCTGCTAGTAGAAATGAAAGTATTAAAAGCTTAAATTCAGCAAATGAAATAAAGCACGTGACTTACGGCACTTCCGGTATTCGGACAAAATGCCGCTATGCTTAGTGGGAAATGTAGTCGGCTGAAGATAAGCTCGATCAAATTAAAGGGACATGAAAACAAAAGTTCCCAAAAAGGGAGCTCTATGTAAAAAAGAGATGGCAAAATTAAAAGGGACATATAATTGGTGGGGCCATATACTAAAGGGGCACATGTATATGAAATATAAATAAAATAAATAAAATGCATAAAATAATACAACTAGCCAGGTAATGTTTGCTATTCCATTTGATAAAGTCTGTTGACGAAACGCGTTATGGATATTTTATACTGTGTATTGTAATATTAAAGCAATTTTTGGTAATTTATTTGTGCCAACTATTCTCTTTTTTATAGTTTTATATACACATTACTCTTTTTATACCTGGCTTTTTAGTATATTTTAGTATATTTTTAGCATTTTACTACTATATACCAACACTGACTTCGGAAGTCTCCTGCACTCCAAGAAATCCTAAAGGTGGGGATCAATCCACCTATGCTGATACACAAGAGCAGTTGGTCTGATCCTCATTTGTAAGTACGTTTTCATCTACTTATATTAAGACTACTTAAATAGTGAGCACTATCGGTTGTCTCTCTTTTTCCTTTTTTGAGAATTGGACACCACTGACGGAGAGAAACCCACAGCATATCCCACAAGCGGGGATTATACCGCTGTATGCGCTTCTATCCTAGAGCTGGACATAAGCTCTATTAAATGTGAGTTGTTTAATATTATCTTTCCATACGTCACTTTTGGAATTATACAATACTGCACTACTGGTCGCCCTTCTCTCTCCCCTTTTGTCTTTTATATGAGTGGAACCTATACAGCTTATGAAGACTTCACTGCTGCAACACTTACTATAAAGACTATCCGCAAGGACACTTAAGTTGAACTTTTATTTTTTATTTTTATCTATTACGTTGGACATTTTTTCTTAGTCACTCTATTTTTACTCTCTTATTGGCGCAGCCTTTTATTATTGTTTTTATAATCTAAAGATAGGCCCATCTATCGGTAGTCTGGTGGTGATAAGTGGAACCGAAACTTTAGAGATACCCTTTAAGATTTTCTTGATGGGGTATGATGACAAAAAGGGGGTGTTGTTAGGGAAATTTGTGAGGCTATGATGCTGCACCCTCGTGAGGTATAGTTTAATTGTATTGTGGGAAAGTTTTAAATGTAAGTGGCAAAAGGAGGCAAAAGCCACCATAGTTTGGGTAGAAAAAAGTGGAGAAAAGTGCTGAGGTGTTGAGGATATCGGTGGGTGTGCGTGCGCTCGGTTCTATTATGAGGAAGTCATCCAAATAATGAATGATGACGTGACACCTGAGAATGTTCAGAAGCAGCCAGCATAGAGTTTCTGCGAAAATATCAAACAGTTTAGGGCTGCTTCTGAACCCGAAAGTGAGTTGCGTGGAAAATAGTACCTGTTTCGCCATTAAACACCGTGCAAGTGCCAAAGTGATGGGTGCATGGGCAGTAATTTGAATGCATTGGTTATGTCTGTTTCGCTAAGCCAAGCGTTGCTACCAGTGGAAATGATGGTTTGTATAGTGTCGTCAATTTTTACGTACTGTAGTGAGAATTCGTCTGCGGGAATGAGTGCGTTAATGCTGGGAACAAAAGAAGAGTGCGGTGCCGATAAAACGATAATCATGCATTTTTTATTCGAGTATTTGTGCACAGCTATGCCAATGGGATTAGTGCGCCAGGAGGAAAACGGTGAGGAGGTGAAGGGGCCGATCATGAAACCTTGTGCTATTTCTGTGGAAAGGAGAGCGTCCGTGGCCTCTGGGTCTAGGCAGGCTGATAGGAGATTGGGGCATTCCAGCGTGCCTGAGGGAATGGCTACGAGACCCGTGAGAAAGCCCTGGGTGAACCCTGTTAACAAATATTCCACTCGATGTCTACTTGGATGAGTTTTCAAGTAAAAAAACAGGTTGTCGATATTAATGTCGGTTAGTCACTTGCTAGGGGACAACACATGGTCTTAGTGTGTGCCCTGAAGCAGATAGAGCAGATGTGCAACAATCTACAGGCGCTGAAGCTGCAGGAGCCTGCATTGAAATTGTTGCACACCTGAGCTTTCCCTAGAAAGGAGATGGGCCTACCCAGTTTATCCCGCTGACCACCCTCATGTTTTATGAGGAGTGGAAGTGGATTGAGGGGTGGGAGTAGGGGTGGATGGATCAGCCACAGAAGGGCACAAATCAGCCAAGTGAGTTGAAGAATTACATATGGCACAAGACGGGGGCCTCAGACCAGCGAAGTGGCGACAGAATAATTCTGTATCCATCTGACACCAGTTAATTCTTATGTTAAATTGTTTCAGATTTGTCGCTGCTTTCGCTGATATCGATTTATGATAGTCATAAAAAGATGAGCCCCCGTACTTGACGCCCATATTCACCACTTTATGGAGATAGAGGTCCAGTTCCTCTCTTATACCGAGCAGATGACATCACGGTATATCCCGAAAGCCAAAACGAAATTGGGAATAGATAATTTTTTGTTGAGCCTAGGGTCTCTGGTTTTAAGAACCACCGAAATATCCCCAAAGTTATAAGCCCTGTTCTCCAGCACGTCTTGGGAAGCTATAAGCAATGACACCAGACACACATATTTCCCATCCAGGATTTCTTTCCTAATGGCGTCTGGGACGGAGTGAGCTGGTGACACAAAAGGAGACGTACCTGAGGCAGGAGCTGAAGGGGGAAGTATAGGGGCGGATGT